GCCTTCCTAGTGAAGATGCCGCTACCCATCTAAACAACTTTGTTGATTTGTGTGATATGCAAAACAAGAAAGATGTGGACAATGATATTGTTAAATTGAAGCTATTTCCTTTTTCACTTAGAGATTGTGCTAAAGCATGGCTTTCGTCTTTGCCTAAAAATAGTATTGATTCATGGAATAAGTGCAAAGATGCTTTTATCTCTAAGTATTTTCCTCCTGCTAAGATCATCTCTCTTAGAAATGATATTATGAATTTTAAGCAACTTGATCATGAACATGTTGCACAAGCTTGGGAGAGGATGAAATTAATGATACGTAATTGCCCTACACATGGTTTGAATTTGTGGATGATTATACAATTTTTTTATGCCGGATTGAATTTTGTTTCTAGAAATCTTTTAGATTCGGCCGCGGGAGGCACTTTTAAGGAAATCATTTAGGAGAAGCTACTAAACTCCTAGATAATATTATCTTTAATTATTCTCAATGGCACACTGAAAGATCTACTAATAAGAAACTTTTAGATTCAGTTTTCTTTTTCCTTTTTTTCTGTAAAGTTTTTCCTGGTTTTCATATGTTTTTAATTTTATTTTCTCTGTGCATTTTTTATTTGCTTCCTTTTATTTATTTTCATAATCCACATATTTCAATAAATTTTCAAAATGTTCAGATTTTCAAAAATTGTTCACTTTTCAGGAAATGTTTCAAATTTGAAAAGAAAAATTGTGCATTTTACAAGTTGTAAGTTTTCATAAAAGTTAAGCATTCAAAAAATATTCACATCTTATTTTAAAAATCTTCAAAAAATCAGAACTTCAAAAATTGTTTGAAATTTTCAAAAACTCTGTAGAGTTTCAAACTTTTGTTCACTTCTGTAAACATGTTCATATTTTCCAAAAAATGACAATTTGAACCATTTTTCGGAATTTCAAAAATTTACAAAATTTTAAAAGTCCAAAAGCTTTAAGAAATGTTTGAAATAAAAAATCACTTTTGTGGTAAAAATGTTAAATGTTTTGGGAATTTTTCCCCGTTTTCAGAAAATACCATGAACTAAAAATATTGGTTTAAAAATGTATTTTTTAAACATATTCACATATTTTTGTACGTTTGCTACAGTGTTGTTCATTGCTGTAGTGTTGCTCCCTTGCTTCAGTTTGGTTGCTGTGAATGGGCTGGCGCAGTATGACTGATAACGTGTGTGTCGTGCGTCCAATAGGATGTCCTCTTTTTCTTTCCCTTTTTTTTCCATTGACAACAATGCCTCCAACACGACGAGGAAAACCCACGCTGTCCTAAATGGGTCAGAAGTGTAGAGGGCCATGTCAATAAATACCCAGAAACTATATTTTTACAATATATATTTAAAATGTATTGAAATATTTAAAATTTATTTCAAAACATATATATTCTAAAATGTTCATTTTATATTAAAAAATGTCCAGTTTTTGTTTAAACATTGCTCCATGTGTACTCAAAAGATGTTCACCATATATAAAACCGGTTATTCATATACTTAGAAAATTTTCAGTTTGTGTTAATAAATATTCATTATATGTTAAAAAAATAAGTACACCATATATAGAAAAGGTTCACCGTATACTAAAAAATGTTCATTGTATATTACAGAAGTGTTTAGCATATATTGGAAAAAGTTCACTGTGTTTTAGTATTTTTTCCATACATCGAAAAATGTATATCTAGAAATGAATAGGAACTAAAAAGGGAAAACAAACAGAAAAAAAGTAAGCGAAAACCGAAGAGACAGGAAGAAAAAACAGAGGAAAGGAAAAAAAACACATTGAGCCTTCTAGAAAAGGTACTAGCTAAGTTTGAGCTAATAGCTACATAATCTAGTCTAGTACATCACTGAGAAATCTACAACATCTGTTAGCTAGTGTCTTGACCTTCACTATTACTCCAAAACTGGAAAATAATGTTCCATCCATCCCTGCTGCAACTAAGATCATGTTGTATTATCTGGATTTCCGAACTTAGGGTCACTTTTGTCATGTCTCAATTTCCCAAAACAACCATATATGTCAAATCAACTGACAAAATGATACCGACCGAACACTTCGTTTAGGACCACTAAGCTATGTACTGAGAGTTCATGTGTGCGTACTGATTCGAAGTCAGCTCCAGTCCACATCAGTCTGACGAATAAGAACATATTTGGTGTTGTACCGATTCAAAGTCAGCTCTAGTGCACATCAATCTGACAAATAGGAATGAATTTCATATTCCAGGGGGGTCAAGAAGTGAAGGAGAACCAGGTACACACTTTTTTCCCAGTAGATCAAGCGAAGAATTACACTGTGTGTGTGTGTGTGTGTGTGTGTGTGTGTGTGAATTGAAATGAAATAACTGCATCGAAGTTGCTTTTTCGTTCCTGTGCAATACCTCCTTGCAGCATGCAGAGCAAAGCATCCAGATTGCCAGCATGCAATAAAGTTTTTGTTTGACTTGCCTCTAATTTAAAACATGCAAAAAATAACCCTTTTTTAAAACAAATTTGGTGCACATCAATTCACAAGTTTGCCTCAACCCCGCTAATGAATTGTTCCAACCCCGCTAACAAGTTGTGAAGAGGGAACAAACCACAAACGGTAGGCATCCAGATTGTCTCATGCATTCACCACACATTGTTCTCATTGAGGTACATGTCTCCAATTATGAATCTAAAGCAAAGAAACAAATGTAAATTAAAACAAGTTTCTCCAAATCAGTCCACACGTTTTTTGCGCAATTCCAAGTGTCAAGTTGCTTGAAATTGCCCCATCATCTGCTCAAAACCAGCTCACAAGTTGCTTCAATCAGCAGGACCTCATTTTTTGAAACCACTTCACAAGTTGCTTTCAGCTAGTACCTAGACCAGGGGGTCTTTTCTCTTGTGTTGCCCATCACAACAACTTCCCCGGGCACCTTACAGTGTTGTGGTCAATCGAATCACAAATGCTGCATTTGTTCTTTTTTTTTTTGGTGTAGCTCTAGAGCCGACTGAAACCCAGGGCCGGCCCTGAAGGGGGGCAGGGGGGGCGGCCGCCCCGGGCCCCCAAGATCGAGGGGCCCCTCCCCAGGTCATGTAGGCTATGGCCCAACATATTTTCGGTCAAAAAAAATCTGTGGAATAGATGGCTGGGCCTCACGCAACACAATGGAATGTACGCATCTACTCCTAGCGAGCAAGGGAGCCAGCGATGGATTCGTTCGTTCGTACGTGCACGTCGGAAAAAAAGAAACCGATTGATCCTTTCCGATTCGTTTCTTTAGGTTAGTACGTGCATGTCTAAAAAAAGAAACTGATTGACACTGATTGATCCCTTCCTATTCCATCACGCAGGTATTTCACGCAGCGATTACCAATTTCTCAGGCGACGTCGACCCTTCATCTCTTCGCAACTGCGAGTTCGGCGCTCCTTTCCCCTTTTCTTCTAAATCGATTTTCCTCCCTGATTCAGACCGACCGCCGGTTTCAGTTTCGTGCTTCCATGGGGCCATCGGAACCCTGCTTTGCTCTCCGTCCATCAATGATTCGACCATCCGAGGTATATCTTCTATTCATATTGAGGTTCCTAGTCTCCTAGATGAATAGCCGGCACATCGGCATTGTTCAACAATTATCAGTTGATGCAATTTATTCTTTATTTTCAGCATTGTGTCTTATTCTGTCATCCGTAAGAAAGTATCAATCTGGTAGCATGAAAGAAAAAGGAAGAAAGCTGTGGATGAATTAGTACAACCATAGTGCAAAAATATTCATATTTCTTTTTCTAAGAGAGTTGGCATAGTTGCCATAGAGGAAGGGCAACCAACTAATGGCAATTCAAAATTTGATCAGCGAGAAGAAAATGTCAACACCAACAACAATGATAATAACGCAAGTGGCTCTGAGCATGTACGTAGGTAATTCATTGGATGTACATGCACGGTCAGGTAGTCATGAAGAACCAGTTTATACTACTAGTATTTATGAAAAACATTGGGATAATCTTGATAAAAAACAACAGACATCTTAGTTGAGAAAGGGTCTAAGAGAGGAGACAAAAAAATGGCATATACCATCTAGACGTTGCAAAAATACATTTTTTCATATGCTCATTATCATAGGAAATTAAGCAGTGGGGAGGAACACGATAAAAATGAGTAGTTTATTCAAAAGATGTCGACAAAGCTTTTTGCTTCTGCCGTAAGATCTTCAAGTCTAGCATTAGTAGGAGTTTATTCCAAAAATGTTGACAAAGTTTTTTTGCTTCTACTATAAGATCCTCAAGTCTACCATTAGCAGGAATCAGACCTGAGCACATGATGGATTAGGATATTTGTAGATAATATGCATAAAGTATTTGATATATATACTGATTTTGGATGCATTTAAATGTTATTGGTAACATTTCATACGTATGCATATTAATTTTTATTGTTATGATGTCAACATTAAAGGCCCCGGATTTTGGTCTCGCCCCGGGCCCCGAAAATCTCAGGACCGGCCCTGCTGAAACCGCCTGGTGAGTGTGCGCCCTTTTGTGACTGACCTAGGTGGTTCCATAGGGATGTGGGGCAGGAGGTTGACTTGCTTGGCAGATTGGAAGTAGCACCCATATATGTCAAATCAACTGATGAAATGATACCGACCGAACACTTTGTTAGGACCACTAAGCTATGTACCGAGAGTTCGTGTGTGTGTATTGATTCGAAGTCAGCTCCAATCCACATCAGTCTGACGAATAAGAACATATATATTTCGTATTGTGCCGATTCAAAGTCAGCTCCAGACTCCAGTGCACATCAATCTGACAAATAGGAATAAATTTCATATTCACGGTGTCAACAATATGAATATTGTTTATACAAATGGGGTGTTGCTTGCCAGGATACATACCAATGTCACTCAGATCTATGGTATTAGCCTGAAACCTCAAGGCTAACTTTTGTTCACTCATACAATTATTCAACCAAGTAATGATGAAATTATTTAGTGGCGATGAAGCTATTGATGGCTAAGAACTAATGGTTCGACCACCATCAATGCAAATGACTTGGCCGGTGATGTAAGAAGCTGCCGGCATACACAAAAATGACACTGCTGAGGCGATCTCCACCGGCTTGCCACTCCGTCCCAACAGGGTCTTCGAGTTCTCTTGCTTCATGTACTCTGAATCTACCTATCAATCCACAACAACCACTTGTTATCCATATTTAGTTAAAAAATATATGAAAACTTGCTGGCAGTGTAGCATGCAAAAACAAAGTTGCTAATTTCTTGGATGAAGAAACAGGAAAACAGATGAGGCTATGCTCTCCCAAAATTTTGGCCATGAACTAGCTAGTGATTGAGTATAAATCCAGGAGTCTCTCTATCTCGTATCATAGTGGAACATGCACTAGTGCTTGCTTCAATCAATTAAGACCTAGCTATTTTATACATGAATTGGAATGTTGGAATCTTTTTCCCTCACCATGTGAAGTGAACTCATTTATCTTGTAGATACATACCAAATCTGGTTTAAATTGCGTGTGCTTTTATTTAAACAAGAAGGAAGTATGCTAGGCGATTGCTTACGTCTTTAATCATATCAGTTGTGACAAATCCTGGGGCGACACCATTCACACGAATCTTGTTAGGGGCCCACTCGGTGGCCAGATTCCTTGTAAGTTGGTTCAGCGCGCCTACATAATAGATGAGAAAGATAACCATTGAGAGTATGAAATAAACTTTCAACGTTAATAGAAATGGTGGACCGATTTTATTTGGATGATAGTATATTAATTCAATCGAATTGTTGCTAGCAGCATGTAAACATTTAAATTCCATTCAATCGAACTGTAGCTAGTAGCATGTAAACATTTAAATTCCATTACATATAGTACTTTTCTAGCTTAGATGTACAAATAGTATATTATGTATATATGTTGCCTGTTAAGTGCATATGCCCTTTTCGGAAAAAATGAAGTGCATATTTAGGCAGTACCTTTTGTGATCGCATAAATTGTGGAGCCTACGAAGGCAATTGAGCCTCCAATGGAGGACATGTTGATGATGCTACCTCCTCCAGCAATAGAAGCGTGTATGAGAAGAGGGCGTGCAAGTTGACTTAGATGGAAGCTCGCCTCCAAGTTGGTGGTCATCAGATTGGAGAAGTCCTCCGCCGTACATTCATCAGCGGGCTTGAACCAAAATTGCCCTGCATTGTTCACCTGCATTACATATACAGAGCTAGCACTTGATAAAATCCTTCACTTGGTTGATGCTCAATCAGAGCTGAGTATTGGGTGTTAGCACAACTTACTAGTATGTCGAGCTTGCCGTCGAAAGTTTGTCGGACCGTCTCCATAAGCTTCTCCCTCTGGGCGCGCACCAAGACATCACAGACAGAGACGGTGACCCGCAGGTTCTTCTCCTCCCACAGCCGGCGGCACTCCTCCAGCTCCGCCGCGTTCCGGGAGCAGGTGTGCACCCTCGCCCCAAACCCAGCGAGCTCCTCCACGATGGCATGTCTAGTCGAGGACAAATTGAGATGACGGATCGCGTATACACTATACATATATAAACACAATACTAAGTGCATTCGTAGAACTATGAGCGAGAGCTTGTGTGTATAAATATACCCTATTCCTTTGCTGCCGCCGGTGACGAGCGCCGTGGCGCCTGCCAGGCTCCACCTCTCCTCCCTGCTCCCGCAGCCAGCCACTGCCATCTCTCTCTGCCGCTCGCTCAGATGAGAGAAATGTCTATTGGTTGTGGGCAAAACTTGGCATTGTGCTACATGTATGTGAGTTTCCTTTATAGCTGGCCCAAGACATGAAGGCACCCCACAAATTAAAACACAGCAAGTTAAACGAGCCGTTTGATAATGATTGATCTTGACCATTGACCGTTTCAGTTTTAGTGTGTTATAAACATGGTGTTATCCTCTCTACGTGTTCTGTACTTAGCGTGGCGGCCAGGTTGTAGATAAGGATTGATCTTGGTTGACTTATTTTGATTGTTTTGCTTGTTGGTTATCCAGCCGTTGTAACCAACCATGTAGTTTGATTCTCTAATCATACGATGGCGCAGCTCCACTACCGATGGGTAACGCTTACCCTATAATCATCGTATGATTCCAGTGTTGGAATAATTAGCAATTTTTAAATAAATTAATCCAGATTATTATCATGCCAGTAGTACTTGCAGTGTTAATCTATGTGTTGGATGTTGATTAGACACATGGCATACATACATATATATGTGTTTCATAGGTACTGCGAATGCAGGAACAATAAAAAGACTAATACTCCCGAGAGCGGCGTTGCGAAGGCTGAGCGTCAGGTAGCTCGGTATCTCCTTCGTGGGAATGGGCCTCGTGATTGATTCTTGTAAGGCGTTTCCAAGGTATACGGGTCAGTATACATCTGCGTGAACAGTACAAATCGTATGTGAGTTGCACATTGTCAGGCCCTGCTCGCACAGGTTAAATGGATGAGGGCATGTGCGGGTTTCGAAATAGCACATGATAAACCTGCCACGGCTGCAGAGTTGCAGCTGCAATAATTGTTGAACCGGCCCAACGTAAATGCAGCTTCAAAAGGTATCACTTTTCTATTCGCAATTTTCTGTGTATGTACTGTATGCGCATCTTTTTTTACGTACACTAATACTCAAATTAGTGTGTAATTTGCTACTGATTTAGCAAATAATTAACTAACTGTGCCTCTTTTTTTAAGAGCTCTCTTAAGATGGTTCCCTCTTACCCCATAAGAGGCAAGAGAAATATTTTATTTGAATCGTCTCATCAAGGATATGTTTAACCACACTAAAAAATGTAACATGGCAATTACTTTTCAAAAACGAATGTTTAAAATGTTTCCTACTTCTACTTTTAATATAATAAAAGTTCACATTCGAGCCCCGTACATATATGTTGTATCTACCATATGAAGACAAATAATTCTCGTATTGTACAATATGATGCATATTCATGTGATCATAAAAAAATATACACGCACTACAAAATACATTATTATTATTCGTCATCATCGGTATCTGTATTTGTATTATTATGGGAGAGCCAGTAAACAAAATAAATTTACGCATGCAATGTTAGGAACATGTATGACTTTCTCTTGTGTGAGGAATATAGAAAACCTTCTCCATTATACATTTTCTTCTCTAACAAAAAAAAATTGTGCAAGAACACTGGTACATATGGTAGCTTTGTTACAGAAAAATTCTGATGGTATTTTGACTGCTTTTTGCTATGATTTTGTTGACTAGTATTCATTTTTGGTGTTTTCTAAAAACAGATTCTATGGATTTTCTATTGTTTAGGTCCCAAACCGACAAATCAAAACATGCATAGACATATAGGACAGAACATAACAAACTTCTTATTTCGTTTGTTAGACATAATGATAAGGTGCTGAAAAAAATCAATCATGAATCCAATGGTATTGATATGGTGGCGTATATGTTAATATAGTTTTTCACAAACTTGTTGAAAGTTTATAAAGTTTGGCTTTAGAAAAAACTAATATACGAAGTAAATAAGAAGGGAGGGAGTGATAGTTATATCAGCCTCGAGAAGTTAAAATTAAACGGTCTATGTTGCTTTGGACCACCTTGAAATTTCTCTAAGAGAAGTTGTGCAGTCGATCGGGTGCTAATAACACATGTTCATTGTGGATTTCTCTATTTCTATGAAACTAATCCTCAAATTAGTGTGTGATTACCTACTGTTTTCTGAACAAAAACTGCGACTCTTTTCTTAAAAAAATGTTGTGGCGCAGGATTTCTCTGTTTCTACAAAATTACTCCTAAAACTAGTGTACAATTAGCTACCTTTTTAGCAAATAATTAGATAACTGTGCATTTTTTAGACGCTAAAAGCACACCATCATCACGACGTTTTGCCCATCCTTAACAAAACTCGACTTAATCCATCATCTCGAGTGTATGCACAGATTAAACACAAACACATAGGAGTACACGTGATGATGTGATGTGACACGTTCTGCAAAAAAAAATAAAAATGAAGGCGCAGCAGTATCATGTGCCTGTCGCCAGCCCACCTGTTTCTTAAATGTACAACATGGGGCCTACTCTAAAATACGGTGATATACTATCTTTCAGGCAAGGCTGCAAATTGCAATACATGTTGGCGCACGCATCCCCATGCTTGTTCGACGGGGTGGATTAGAGCAACTCTAGCAGACCCCGCATCCGGCGCAAACCCGTATAATTCCGGGATTATACGGGCTCGGCCCATTTTTCTGGTCAGATCAGAGCCCGCATCGGTGTACGGCCCGTAAATTTTTTTGCCGCAGCCCGCAAACGCAACCCCCGAGCCACTATAACTGCGGGTTTGCGGGACAGATGTGGGTCGAAACCCTATCCTCTCGCCGCCGCGTTCCCCTCCAATTCCCCACCGCGCCGCTCGATTTCTCGCCGCCGACGAGCCTTGAACCACCATGGCCGACTCGGGGGATGAGGTGGAGCACCGCCGCCGCGCTAGATCTGACGCCACGTGCAAGTGGGGGGGGGGGCACGTCGGTGGCTCAACCAGGGTGCCCGGCCGCCGCCGGCATTCGACCGACACGAGCTCGAGCGCACCCATCGCCGCCGCGCCTCCTCCGACAACTGGTCCGCGGGGAGCTCATCCGGCCATGGGTCCGCGGGGTGCTCATCCGCGGGTGCACCAAGCTCGCGGCTCGTTCCGGTGAAGAGGGAGCCAGAGGAGGCCGTGCCCGATGCGCCGCCGTGCCGAGGCGTCATCGAACCCGAGGACTACCTCCCACCGGGGCAGGAGGAGCTCCTCGAGCGCGTCGTCCTCGAGCGGTCGGCGAGGGATCATGAGGAGATGGAAGAGTGCATCCGGCGTGAGCTCGAGTACGAGCGGCTCTTCCTCGAGACGGGCCTTACGGCATCGCAGGCGCACACATCGAAGGAGGCCGACCTGCGTGTGATGAAGGAGGAGTGGGCGAAGCTCTTCGTCGACCTCGACTCCGACTCCTCCGACTGCGACTGATCGCCGCCGGTGGGCAGCTACCGCAGGAGCTCCGGTGAGCTCAATTTTGTCGCAGTGGTGCGGTAGCGTAGGCCCTGTCTACCATATCTAACCTTTATGTATGTATGTGGCTTGTATGAACTTATATGCGAAGAAGAACCATCTATGCGAGCGAGCTCCGGCGAGCTGTTGCTTAAATTTCTCGCGCGAAACAACTTTTTTTAAAATTTAGGGGTTTATTTGCGGTTTTTACTCTGCCACCACAAATTTTGGCCTACATAACCACCCCGTGCGACCTGCAAACACATTTTGCAGGTCGGCAAAATGCAGGGTCGGCTAGAGTTGCTCTTAGGAGCTACCTGGAGACCGGCCTCTGCAACGCTTTTTCGTAATACTCCCTCCGTTCCATAACGTAGTACATTTAGATTTTCTGAACGCACCGTGAGTTTCTTGGAGCCTGGCCGGAATAAGACCACAAACTTTCAAGAAAATTCCTTATATTACACTGTTTTAAATATTGGTTCCCAATTTAACACTCAAAAAAAATTTCTTTCCTAAATAACACCAAGTGTAATTTTTTTTACCTTTCTAACACTTCTGTCAAGTCCGTTAGCATATGTCGTTAAGATCTGGATTGACTGATGTCAGTCTTTTCTCGTTGGATGAAATTACCCCTTTGAGGAAAAAGAAAAACAGAGACCAAACCGGTCTCTCTATTCTCTCCCGACCCGACTCTTCTCATCCCCTTTCTTCCCAACCCTAGAGGCGGCGGCGGCGGCGAACCTCCCAGGCTTAGCGGCGGCGGCGGCGGCGGATGGCTATGGATGGCGGCAGTTCTGCGGATGGAGACGACGCCACGGATGACGGCCATGGCGCGGCTGCGAACGATGGCCATGGCGCGGCTGCGGACGTGCCATGGCTTGCCGATGGCGCCGACGGGGCTGAGGTCAGGTCAATCCAGGGCGTCGGGCTAGCCTCGGGCTGCGGTGGGGTTGAGCCAGCATCGGGCCAGGCCGGAGACTCGGCTACAGCTGGCTCGGGCCTGGCCGGTGGCTCGGCTATAGCTGGCTCGGGCCAAGGCGCGACAGTGGCTGGGGTCTCCGGCGAGGGCACGACTGGGTCGTTCTTGGCAGCAGCTTCAGGACAGGGCGGTACTCAGTTGCCGCCAGCAACATGGGCGTGTCCAGATGGGTAAGGGCCAGTCCATCTAGTAGCAATTATCATGATTGTGCTAGTTTGTGTAGCTGTGTATTTGAGGAAGAGATATTTTCTCTTAATTTCGGTTGATGATCAGATTGTCTAGCAATACTCATGCATAGGTTTAAAGCAAAGTTTAAAGTTGTCTTTTTAATTCACAGGATGGATCCAAATTCGAGTTATTTGCTCAAAATTAAATTGTTTGGCAATCCAAAGAAAGCTCGAAAGGACATAAGATGTTTTTGTTTTGAGAAGGTCATCGATTGTGACTTGACAAATTATAAGGATTTGGTCGAGTCAATTGTAGAGCAGTACCCGCCACGTTATTTGGAAGCTGCACATGTGCAATATTATGACTATGCTCTTAAAAACTGTCCAGAAGTAAAATCTGACCAAGATTTGATGATTATGTTTGAAAAACACTCAGAGACAAAGGTGCTACATATGATTATTGCATATTGTGATCCCTCAGAGCCATATGAGCCTATCACCGAGTGGGATGAACCTAACAGCAATATAGAACATGAGGATGATACTTACCTTCGCAACCCAAGACCTGAAAATGAGCATGTTGGTGTTGATGAGGAGAATATGTATGAAGTGGAAGAACCTATGCCCTTAGATGTGGTTCTTTGTCCTAATAAAGAAAAGGATGATGAAGTAGAGGCGTCTGAAGTAGAGGACGATGAAGTAGGGGAGTCTGAAGTAGAGGATGATGAAGTAGAGGAGGATGAGGAGTTGCATGAGGCAGAGCATACTCCACATGTAGAGTATGACAAATTAGACCCTCCAATGACAAAAGGCTTTACATATCCCAACATGAAAGAGTTCAAGTTGGCACTTTCTCAGCATGCAATCAAACATGAATTTTAGTATAACACCGAGTATAGTACACCTCATTGGTTTAGGGGCTATTGTTCAAGACGAGATGCTGATAATTGTCCATGGAGGATACATGCTTCTACGACGGAGGATAAGTGTACCGTAATGGTAATTGTTTAACTCTATCCATTTGTGAACATTTATTGCATAATTATCAAATGTTTTTAGCTAATTACCTATATCTCTCTTTTTAAGGTGAACAAAAACCGATGTGGTCATGATTGCTCTAGTACAAGAAGGAAAAAAAGATGAAGAATGCAACCAAGTATTGGATATGTGATAAGGTGAAGGATTGGCTGATTGAAGATGCTACTCTCGGAGCGAAGGCATTGCGCAAAAAGATTAAAGAACACCACAAGGTTGACATCCACTACAAGAGGGTATATATGGGTAAGAAGCTAGCTCTGAAAGAACTATATGGTGATTGGGATAGCAGCTTTGACAATTTTGATAAGTTTAAATCGCAAGTTGAAATCTCTTGCCATGGTAGCATAGTGCAGATTGATCATTACACTATAAAAGAAAAAAAAATCAGGTTTAGAAGGTTCTTCTTTGCTTTGAAACCTTGCAGAGATGGATTCCTTAGTGGTTGCAGACCGTATTTGGCAGTAGATAGCACATTCTTAACAGGCAGGTTTAAGGGGCAGCTTGCCAGTGCTACCGCTGTAGATGGCCATAATTGGATGTATCCACTTTGTTTTGGAATTTTCGATTCTGAAACAAATGAGAACTGGATCTGGTTCATGCAATTGCTTAGGCAAGCCATAGGGTCGCCAAGGGGTTTAGCCATAAGCACTGATGCTGGGCAGGCGGTGATGACAGGGGTAAAGGAAGTTTTCCTAGAGGTAAAACATAGGGAATGCATGTTTCACTTGGTGTCAAACTTCAAGAAAAAGTATCACATAAAGGTATTTGATGACCATCTTTGGGCTGCTGCTTACTCATGGAACAAGTATATATTTGAGAAAAATTGGGTTGCAATGGAGACAGCAAAGCCAGCGGCAACTACATATCTTAGGAAGTGGCACACTAGGTTGTGGACTAGGAGTCAGTTCTCAACCATTTGTAAGGTGGACTATGTAACCAACAACCTAGCAGAGTGCTTCAATAAATGGATTAAGCACCACAAGTCCTTGAACTTGGATGACTTAATGGACAAGCTTAGGCAAATGATTATGATCATGTGGAATCGAAGGAGAAAAGTAGCAAAGAAGTTAGCTGGCTTATTAATTTTGCCCCACATAATGAACAAGTTGATTGCAAAGAGTAGAGAGTTAAACTTGGAGGTGGTAGAAAGCTCGGAAGAAGTTGCTGAAGTTACTCAATTGGGAGGCAGCGGGTTTAGGTTTGTCGTCAACTTGCATGACAACACATGTTCTTGTAGACAATGTCAAGTTTCCGGCCTTCCTTGCAAGCATGCTCTAGCATTCATCACATCACTTGTCAATGCACATATACAGAATTATGTGGACTTGTATTACTCCATTGACAAGTTTAGGGCAGCTTATGGCCAACTAATCCCTGCTATGTGTGACAAGACCCAGTGGCCTAAATCTAACCATGGATTCTTCATGCATCCACCCTTGTTAAAAGCTGTAGCTGGTCGGCCCCAAACCGAGAGGCATAAGGGTTGTGGTGAGAAAAATAGGAAAAGTGGCCAGCACTTGTGCCCTATTTGCAAGGAATACGGGCACCATTGGCATAAGTGCAAGAAGGGTAACAAAGATGACATTGCTGCTTTCATGGCTGTGAGGTAATCTACTATCCATTCTACTCTCCTATTGCATGTTAACTACTTTCTTGCATTATTGTTTTGTAATCACCTATGAATGTTCACTACTTTCTCATTTCTCATGTAGAGAACCACCAAAGAAGAGGAGGAAGACTATTAAAACATCCGAGTCATCCATTGTGCCAAGAGGTGATGACGCGCCAGCAGCCGCTATGTATTTTCCACCAAGGTTACCGATTCTACACCAATGCTTGTTCCAAATGATAACTGAGTTTTTATTTGTGCCAAACGAAAACTGAGTTCGATTTGTATGTATTCATGTAATCCATAGCCAAAACTTGGAAACTACAACCAAGAAGAAGGGAAAGCATAACCAAACATTGGAGACTACAAACAAGAAAAATGCAAAAGGGGGGAAAAGGTGACCTTTTCTATTTCTGGATTTTAATATCACATATATGCATAGTTGATATTGTTATTTGCTGCCATACATGTATCAAATATATCCATATGTATTGTTTTCATACATGCACTACAATAATTTGACAGCCATGTTGTTATTTTAAGGGCCACAAGGAAGATGGAGCTTGCTCAAAAGGATCAAAACAATCCGATGGTGCCATTTGACAGCCCTGCAATGGGCACTAGAAGCAAAAAAGCTTACCCAACTAGCCCTGCAATGGGCACAAGAAGCAAAAGGCGGCTCAGCTTGTGAACTTCTTTCACTTAATGTCACTTTTGTTGCTGCTCATGTCATGTTGTGTGGACTTGGAGTAATGTATGTGAACCTGGGTATGATGTGAGCCACTTTTGGGTTGCTAATATGATGTATGTGTGGACTTGGAGTAGTATGTGAACCTGGGTATGATGTGAGCCACTTTTGGGTTGCTAATACGATGTTTGTGTGGACTTAGTAATGTATGTGAACCTGGGCATGATGTGAGCCACTTTTGGGTTGCTAATATGATGTATACGTATGATGTATGTGAGTCATATATGTGTACTTGGATGTGAGTCTGGATGTATATGGAGTGCCTCATGCCATTGGCAAATTTGAAAGGTGTGTGCTGAACAATATACATATGAATTGTGTCATAGGTTCTGCCCAATTTTGAATTAAATTTTAAAATAAAAAACTGTCCAGAATTGCATGTTTACAAGGAAAGTTCTGCCCAGTTTTGCAATTAACAGCAGGAAAAAGTTATTGATCCCCATGTGAATGATTTTGATCACAAATTGGATTAGGGGTAAGATCGTCTTTTCATGTGCCATTTAACACCGTTAGTACTCAAAATAGACGGAAGTGTCACAAAGGGAACAAATTTTAACATTGTTGTTAGATAAGGAAGAAAAAGTTTACGGTGTTAAATAGGGCACAAAAATTTAAGCGAGTGTTAAATAAGGAATTCTCTCCAAACTTTCTTGGAGTTCCTTATTGTTGGCACACTTGAAATAGGAATATACTCCCTTCGTTCCATATTAGTTGTCGTTGAAACATATGTATCTAAATGTTTTTAGTGCTAGGTATATCTGTTTGAGCGACAACTGATACGTAACATAGGGAGTATCAATTAATCCCAGGTCATAAGTTTGCAATCTGCAAGTTTTATACCTAAAAAGATTTCAATTATGATAGGTCATAGGTTACAGATCCCAACTATTAGACTATTTGTGCGCATTGATGCTTGGGTCTTCCTTTTGCCCGTCTGAATGTTTGTACTATGTACAGTTAAAGAAAAGCAACATTATGCCATCTACCTGCTGAGCTGCAACATTAGGTTGAACAGAGAGTCATCTTGCATGTTATTCTCCCCCATAATATCTCTCATTTTTGCAGATGCATGTTTGGCCCCCAATGGATATGTGGTATCTTTTTACATGGCTGACGCCAATCCATATTATTTGTTGTGTGATTAATAAGTTTTATAAAGACAAAGGGTAATTTCATAGTTGTCTGCAAGTTTGTGGGTGACACAATTTAACGCTTTCAGCCTGTAGTACTTGTCGTGATTATGTGCTTTTTAGTTGTCATAGACCTTCGAAAAACATGTTGTGTGATCTATTCCCCATTGGTAGATTAGAAGTTATAGGTCATTTGTTGATTTTTTATAATGACTTTTTCTTTGTGTAACACTGTGCCGAAATTTATGCAGATTTCCCCTCAAAACTATCTAGCACCCATGTTGTTAAGGAATGATCCAATATATTATGTTCATTTTAAGTTGGCAGATTCATCGTATAGTATTTAATATTGGATGTAGATTAAAATTTTAACATGACTTTATTGATTTTGTTAGGCGAAATTTGGGACTTTTCTTGGGAGATGGTAAACTACTATTTATTTGGCTGGTGTCATGCACATTGATAATTTACCATCTGAATGATTTCATCTAAATTAGAAAATTACTAAAGTTTCATAACATAATTTTGTTTGAGGTGGATGATATGAAGATCTATCGGAGTGTTGACGGAGAGGTATGATGAGGAGCTTGTGAAGGCTGAGAAGATGGAGAAGAAGGAAAGAAGTTAAGGGGGAGGATGACATTGACGAAGGAGAAGGCTTTCAGAGCGTTGGCCGACAATGGGTCATTGCGGATGGTGTTCACCAAATTATTCACGGAACTGAAGCTCCCAAAGTGATCAAATAAAGAAGATGACAACGAGACGTAGAGGATGTGGTGATGTTTGTTATTTTCTCGTGAAGAATGATGTGATGATAGTAGTTGTGATATGCATATTAGTTGCTTCAACAAGTATATTCTTGAAGTGATGTGCCATAGGTAGGTGTAAGAACTAAGATCTACAAGCATTCTTGTGTGTACGAGAAGGGGGGGGGGAGAAAGGGAGTTAAGAGATATAGAGGGAGAGGGAGTGCAACTGAGACTTATACTCACCCCCTGGAATTACTTGATCCTCAAATGGGTGAGCATCAAGTAATTCTGGATGGAGGCAGTATATTTTAACTAAAACCTTCACATATAACATAACTATATGCATGTGTATTGACTGCTTCGAACAATTTAATGAACATATGTATTGTCACATCCCTAGCTTCTGGTGCTGCCTGGTGTTTGCATCATGTTTAAATTTTGAAACTTGAACTGAGGGAAATTGGAAGCCTCAAAACCCTAAATAAAAGAAGGGCAAAAACCCTAAAAAAATCTCATTCATTGTTCCAAAATGCTCTTCTTAAATGTTTGATAATTTTTGGCAAGGGTTCTGGTCCCAACCAAAATATTGAACATTTTTAAGGATTTAT